CATATTTTGAAGGGGGCTTTGTATAGGGGCTAGGGTCAAATGAGGCCCTATCATTAGAAAATTCATCAGGGTCATCAAGGCTAGTATAGAACTTGCAGCTTTTTGTCGAGATACGAGTATATTAACCATAACTATGAACTTAAAAGCCCTATTCAACGGGTTCAGTTGTATGGGGGCTAGGTGAAATAATGAACCGATGTTAACCATTTTCAATAGTCTTCGTCTCCGGTACCATAGAAGATCATGTACCGAATTTCATTGAATTATCTTCAAAATTGCGACCTGTAGTTTGATTACAAGGTTTACAAGCCCTATTCGAGGGTTCAGTTGTATGGGGGTTAGGTGAAATAATGGACCGATCTTAACCATTTTCAATAGGCTTCGTCCCTGGGACAATAGAAGATCATGTACCGAATTTCATTGAATTATCTTCAAAATTGATTACAAGGTTTACATGGACGGACAGACGGATGGACGGACATAGCTAAATCGACTCAGAAAATGATTCTAAGCCGATTGGTATACTTTAAGGTATAGGACCAATATTATTGTGTGTTACAAACATCAGCACAAACCCAATATACCCTCCCCACTGAAGTGGTGTAGGGTATAATGAAACACAAAAAATTGTGTGAAGTACTTCATTGAATACTGCTGCAAAACTTACTGTTTGCAGATACTTAAGTATTTAAATAATATTTCGAGGTTCGAAAAAAAAATAAAATTGGCATTCATAAATAATTATGTAGGTGAATATTGATATAAGTCACATATGTATGTTTGACTACTTTAAATTCAATATTATTTTATATGTAAATAATATTATCGAAGAACTACATCAAATTTGTATATTTTATATTTGATAAATTATGTTACATACATAGCTTGTTTAAACCATTTATTTGTCCTGTTCTTCGAAATCAAGTTTATAACTTTAGCCTAATCATAAACCTACAAAATATCTCCTTATTGAGATACTGAGAGTCTAGTTGCAAACTAAAGTCCTCAGGCCTTCGTCCCCAAAACTTTTGTTGGGTTACATCATAGTAGCCATCTGCTGCGTGACGGGCTATTCTTATCTTTTCTTAATTTTTAATAGTTAACAATTATGAAACTTTTGTTAATTATAAAATTTATTCAAATACTAAATAAATCGAACACAAATTAAGCATAAAAAAACAGTAGCCGCCACAATAACAATAAAAATGTTTAAGAAGTTTATTTTTAGGCACAAAAGTCATAAAAAAAAATATTTATGAATATGCACAAATAGATGATTATAATTATAATTATAATTATGATAATGATAATGATTTGTTTTCATAAAGTTGTTAAAACAAGAAATGGTAATATTTGAAAAATTATACGAGGTTATAGAAATCTCTTAATATTGTGTCTTTTATATTGAGTGGATAGGCACACTTATCTATAGAGTAGCCAGATTTAAAATTAATATTAAAATCCCAAATCGGAAATAAATATTTTCCATATTTTTTAATAAATGTCAGAATTTTTACTTAAAAATATTATTTAAGACAAATTAGTTGCATTCTATAATACAACAATATCACTTACAAATAACATTAAAAAAAAATAACATAAAAAGTACTTCTTGGGAATGAGTTCAGAAGTAGTGAATTTGGAATTAAATTAAAAGCCTGTGTTAAAATCATCACTTCTTCAAGTATTTTTCAGTATCTTCATGAAGTAAATTCTATTTCTTTTTCGCTTCAAATATACATATGCTATAGATAAAATATATATAAAAATATAAACTTACTTGCTGTGTGATAAAAGGACCCTGTAAAGAAAAAAAGAAAATGTTTAATGCAATATTCAGTGATCTTAAAATTACAATATATCATGCTAATTAATCATACGTGGTTATTTTCATATTTCAGAAATGCAATGCACATTGGTATAGGGAAAAAATAGACGGAAATAATTCTGTAACTTCTAAACGGTTAGTCCGATTTAAATGATGGTGCTGTCGACTTTAAGTTCTGAATTTGTATCTGACGGGCCTACCGGGGGAGCGGCCAGAGGTCCCCAAAGTAAGACACCTCGTTTTCGAAAATTTATAAATTTTCTAGCAATTCAGATATTCATAGAAGACTTTTTAAAAAATGTGCCAAAATAGTTTTTTGTTAAATTTTTGAATTTAAATAAAATGTCCATTTATGAATATTTACAGATATATTTTCTTTCTCATTGGGAATGTAAAACTAAAGAGAAATTTTAAAATCTGTTATCACGAATCTCTCAATTCCTAAAAAAAGTTTTGAAAAATCGCAAATATGGTATACAAGCCACACCAGGGCCAGGGTTATCGAAACCCTTTGTGAAATAATTAAGAATATATTGGGTCATCTAAAATGGGTTACTATAATTGATATTGATTTTACGATTTGAGAATTTTTGGCCTAAAGATCGGTATAAACAATTTTTATTTTTTTAACTTAAAATATTTCATGTAAAGTTAACTTTTCAAAAAGTATAAATTCTTTATATATCTTCTTAAAATTGTTTAAAGATAACTTTAAAAAAAAACTTTAAAAAATAAAGAACGTACTCTTTTCCCAAAAAATTACCGAAAAATCAAAGTTTTAAGGTTTTTATACCCACCATCAAAAAAGTCATTCCGTTTGTAACACATCGAATATATACCCACAAAAGTATATATATTCTGCGTCCTTATTAAATTCTAAGATGATCTAGCCATGTCCGCCCGTCTGTCTGTTGAAAGCACGATAGAGTCCGAACGAAACAAGCTAGAGGGTTGAAATTTTCTACAAATATTCTCTATAGATAAGGTTTGTTTGGTATTGAAAATGGGCAATATTGGTCAACGTTTTCGGATAACCCCCATACAAGTGGGCCCCCGAAAAACAGCTTTAACGGGCATATCTGCTTTAAAAGTACGAGTATAGCGATGAAATTCGACATAAATAAGTTTAATATGAGCCAAAATCTCCCGAACAAATTTTATGAGGATCGGTCCATAATTAACCCTACCCCCCATATAAGGTCCCTCTAAGAAAACGACTAAAACGCTCATAACTTGCTTAAAAATGATAGCAATGCAACGAAATTCGACATAAACAAGTTTTAGGGGAACTAAAATCTCTCTGAAAAAGTTTATGGAGATCGGCCAATAATTGACCCTACCCCACATAGAAGGTTCCCAACAGAAAATTACTTTATAGCTCATAACTTGCATCGAAATTGCAGTAAATCAACGAAAGTCAGCATAAACAAGTTTTAGAGGAATCTAAATCTCTCTACCAAATTTTATTATGATCGGTCCATAATTGACCATACCTCCTATATAAGCTCCCTTTCAGAAAATGACTTTAACGCTTATAACTTGCTTCAAAATGGTAGTTAAGCAACGAAATTCGACATAAATAAGTTTTAGGGGAACTAGAATATCTCTCCCATATTTTATGGAGATCGGCCCATAATTGACACTACCCCCCATATAAGGTTCTTCTGAGAAAATACTTAAAAGTTCATAATTTGCTTAAAAATTCCAGCATATCATCGAAATTGACATAAACATGTTATATCTCTGCCAGATATTAAGAGGCTCGGTACATAATTGATTCTACCACCATAAAAGGCCCTCCTATAAAATGGCTTTAACGCTCATAACTATAACTTGATTCAATATAAAAAAACAACTTCTTCAAAATTATAGTAAAGAAATGAAGTTCGACATAAACAAGTTTTATAGGAACATAATTCTAATTCTTTTTTTGAGAATCGGTCCATAATTTACCTTATCCCTTTTAAATTTACCATATCCCCTTTAAGCCGTTTAGAAGTTACAGAATTATTTCCCTCTATTTTTTTATACCACTGTGCAACGTGACAGAAAAAAATTCAAAGCAGATGGGCAATTTCATATCAAGTGACCCAAATCAAAAAATTGATTTTTACGAAATTTGCACCAATGGTAGTACTATTGGATGGTAGGCCAAACACAAATTTTCAGCGCTATCGGTCCACAACTGCCGGACTTAGAATAGAATCAGATAGAAGAAATAGCTATCTGAACTCCTTTGTACAATTTTTGCTAGGACCAATAGGTGGAAAGTTACACGCATTTGAATAAAACCCTGTATGACCAAAATGTCCAACTTTCACCCCCTCTAAATCCGGCAGTTCTGGACCGATAGCACTGAAAATTTGTGTCTGGCCTACTATCTAATAGTACTAATCTTGGTGTAAATTTCGTCAAAATCGATTTTTTGAGTTGGGTCACTTGATATGAAATTGCTCATATGTATGTATGTATGTATGTATGTATTTGGGCCATTTCGTGTTTTATATACAATTTCTTGATATTAAGTAAAGTAATTTTCTGAAAGGATATTTTATGGAGACTAGGGTCAAAAACGAAATCAATGTAGATGGGGTCCCGTCTATAAACAATTAACCCATTATTAGTTATATAAGTTTTGTAATCGACTAATGTTTTGGTAAATTATTCAACAGTTATACAAATTATAGGCTTATCATAAATATCTCTTATAACCGTAATTCGAATTTCATTTGTAATATAAATATTATGGGTTATAATATTGTGGGACAGCATATCAACTATTTGTATTATTTTGAACTAAATTATCTGAAATTTGGTGAATTATTAAAGTGGTAGATCTAGTATTTTATTTAATATAACTTAATTTAACGAGTAGAGCTAGTATATACATACATATTTAATTAATTTGTTGTAAAGTTTTACATTTTTCATTTGTAATACTAATGAATAAATATAACAACATTATACACCTACTAACAGACTATCATTCTTTCAACAACCTTGTTAAATATTTTAATACTCAATCTATAATATATTCCAAAACAAATGAAGTAAATTAACTATCTGGCAGCATTTTATTTATAATCATTGATGTAAAAATTAATGCACAAATATTTTGAACATATTTTCAAAATCTTCAACCTTAAGTTTAGTTAAGTCTAAACTGCTCTTAGCATTAACAAATTTGATTATTTAAATTTTCTTACTCTTAATATGTCTATAAGATACATACATAATTACATATGTATGTTGTGCTTGCAAACATATCATTTTTGAAGAGTAAGTAGTTTGAAAAATTGAAAGTGTTGCAGTTTAAGAGCTATAACTCCTTCAAGATTTTAATTTTGTATATAAAGTTAACAAATTTTACGATTTAGTTATCAATTTCAGTTGAGCTCTCATCGAATATTCACTAAAAAAAACTTAAACTAAACAAAGCTAAACATGAAGGTGCGTTTATTGAAAATATATTACAAAAAAGTTTCTCAGGAATATTATTGCCAAACACCACGGATTATAGGCAATAATGTTCAAGAACAAACTTTTGGGAACTAAAAAAAACAACAGCTTAATATTCATAAAACATTCTAAAAATAACTGATTTTATTATCAACTCTTTCAGGTTTTCGTATGTTTGTTAGCCCTTTGCGCAGTTGCCAATGCCGGTTTCTTAGGAGGTGGCGGCGGTGGTGGTGCTGGTGGTTGGTCCAGCGGTGGTGGTAGCAGTGGAGGCTGGTCTAGCGGTGGTGGTGGTGGCGGCTTCTCTGCTGGTCCCGTTAAAATTATTAAAGTCATTTCCGAAGGTGGATCTGGCGGTCATGGTGGTGCCGGCGCTGGTGGTTGGTCTTCAGGAGGCTCCGGCGGTTTCGGCGGCGGCTATGGTGGCGGCCATGGCGGTGGTTATGGCGGTGGTCATGCCGGTGGTGATGTTCAAATCATTAAAGTCATTTCCCAAGGTTCCTCCGGTGGCGGCCATGGCGGTAGTGGTGGTTGGTCTTCTGCACCTGCTCCCGCTCCAGCTCCTGTTAAAATCATCAAGGTCATCTCTGAAGCTGCTCCCTCTGGTGGTGCTGGCGGTTGGTCATCTGGCGGTGGTGCTGGTGGTTGGTCCGCTGGCGGTAGTGGTGGCTGGTAAATCCGTTACCTCTTCATTGCCCATTCCTGAAACTCGATTGTTTAGTTAGCTTTGTGATATTTTTTTTTACTGAAACATCGAAATCGACCATTTGTTATTGTTATTATATCTCACTTCATTTTTGAAGTTCTATCATTTTCACACTCTATTAGTTAAATAAAGCTCTTTTTTGTTATATGAAAAAAAAAAAAATATTTTTCTTTTATAATTTTTTTCCATAGGAAAACATTCAATGATTGAATTAAGCATAAAAAATGCACCAAACTGTATTCTTCATTACCAGGAATTTTAAAGCTGTAACGCAAAATTTTGATTTTCAAATAAGTAGCACTACATTTTCTAAAATTAGTACCTTTTAGTATTAAAAGTACTAAAATACCTTCCGTTTTTTATTCTATTGACTACTTAGTCTATTGTATGGACTATGGAATTGTTAATTGACTAATACATGCACAAGGGTACAAACTAGTTTATTGACTAATCTATGGATCGTAAGTATATAGTTCGACGGTCGAAGTCTATTTAAAATGGTTTACTTCGGTCCATTATTCCACATATCCCCATCCATATATCTATATAAAATCATATTTTGGAAATCACTTTTACTTAAAAAAATCTTAAAAATTAAGATAAAATTTAACACAATACGTTGTTGGTATTGAGATCTTTTATCTCAACGAATATATACAAATAAAAAACTATTTTAGACAATGTTCCATATGAGGAACATATAGCTCCCATAATAATGTATGTACATAGTCTCGGAAAATGAATTTATTGTTAGAATAAAATATCGGTATTATCACATAATATTGCACAAATAAAACTAATATCAAAAGAAATCGTATTACCAACTAAAACCTAGATCGGTCCATAAGCTCCCATATAAGGTCCACATCAGAAAATTAATTAAACGAACGTAATTCATTATCAAATAACAATATCGGGACAAAATTGAACACGAATATGTTGTATATGTATATAAATCATTCTGCTAGTTTTTTTTCGGTATCGGTCCATAATTGGTCATTGCTTTCACATGAAGTCCATTTCCGAAATTCATGAACGATTATTAATATCGGGATAAGATTCCACTTCTTCTAAGATTATTATTTAATATTTCCAAATTTATAAAATTAAAATTTCTATAAATAATGGACGTGTTAATAAAACAAACTGGCTTATATGTATGTGAAGGGCATTTAAGCTTCGCCATAGCCAAATAAATCACTCTAACTAAAGATATCACTAAAACAACGATCACTTTCTAACGAATAGATCTAAACATTTAATTTGTAACCTTAAGTGTAGTTAAGTCTAAACTGATTATGTAAAATTTCTTACTCTTAATATGTCTATAAGATATGTACATAATTACCAGTGTTGCCAGGTTAGTCTTTTTTAAGGCTTAATTTAGCCTTTTTATTTATCATTTAGCCTCAAAATTTATGTTTTAGCTTTAGATTTATTTAACCCTAAAAAGGCTAAAATTTTAGAATTTTCATTAAATATTTAAGAATTTATAATAAGAACATTTACAAATACATTTAGATTTAAAATTTTTTGTAACAAATGGGTTATTTATTTTGGATATTGGATTTTAAATATAATTAGAGTAAATTTCATTTGTTTTACAACTTTTAACTCATTTCCGGCAGGTGTTTCTGTTGTCAGATGAGATACAATTTTAGACAAATTAATTTTATATTCTTATGAATAAAATAAAACTAATCAAAAAAAAAAAAAAATCAATATTTTTGGTACATATTCTCTTTTGTTCCAGAAATTAATGCAACAACAATGAATCCATAGTCGCACTTGACCGATACTTTCAAGCATTTATAAGTATAATTAAATAAAGCTTTTATGTTATTTGTTTTTGATTTGGATACATTTAAAAAATTTATTGACATTTAAAAAAAAAAAAAATTTTAGAGAAGCTTTATATGAGGACTAAGGGCAAATATGGACTGAACTCCATAAAATTTGCTGAATTTTGTCGCTATATTATTGTTTATAAGTGAATTGATATGCTAGTAATTTTCAGAAGGGAGCATTGTATGAGGGCTAGGGTCGAATGAGATCCGACACCACGAAAAGTGGTAGGCTCATCAGTACTTATAAAAAACTAAAATAAATAGTTGTGCTTTTTTCGAGATACCGGTATATTTAACATAATTAGGAGCTCAAAAACCCTATTCGGGGGCTTCAGTTCTATGGGGTCTAGGTGAAAACTAAAGTGGTTTATGGTATAAATAAAAACATTTTATTAAATTCTGGAACAATTGGTCATTTTAGATCTTGGGCCCATTCTAGGACTTTCGAAAATCATTGGTTTATGGTCGGGAATTCCCTATTATTATTTTTCACTTGTTTTAATACGAATTTTTAAGGTATAAACATTTAGCCTTTTTCTAGTCTTATTTTTTTAAGCCATTTTTTAATGTCCGATTTATTTCTGAAGCTCCTGGCAACACTGATAATTACATATGTATGTATTTTGTGCATGCAAGCATATAGATGCATACATATTTAGGTATGTATGTATGTATGTATATCATTTTTGAAGAGTAGTTAGAAAAATTGAATTTGTAATGTTGCAGTTTAAGAGCTATAAGCCCTTCATGATTTTAATTTTTACGATTTAGTTATCAATTTCAGTTGAGCTCTCATCGAATATTCACTAAAAAAAAAACTTAAACTAAACAAAGCTAAACATGAAGGTGCGTTTATTAGAAATATATTACAAAAAAGATTTTACATTACAAAGAAGTTTCTCAGGAATATTATTGCCAAACACCAGTGATTATAGGCAATAGTGTTCAAGGACAAACTTTTTGGAATTAAAGAAAAACAAAAAAAAAAAAACAACAGCTGAATATTAATAAAACGTTCTAAAAATTAACTGATTTTATTATCAAATCTTTCAGGTTTTCGTATGCTTGTTAGCCCTTTGCGCAGTTGCCAATGCCGGTTTCTTAGGAGGTGGCGGCGGTGGTGGTGCTGGTGGTTGGTCCAGCGGTGGTGGTGGTAGCAGTGGAGGCTGGTCCAGCGGTGGCGGTGGTGGTGGCGGTTTCTCTGGTGGTCCCGTTAAGATTATTAAAGTCATTTCCGAAGGTGGATCTGGCGGTCATGGTGGTGCCGGTGCAGGTGGTTGGTCTTCAGGAGGCTCCGGCGGTTTCGGCGGCGGCTATGGTGGCGGTCATGGCGGTGGTTATGGCGGTGGTCATGGCGGTGGTCATGCCGGTGGTGATGTTCAAATCATTAAAGTCATTTCCCAAGGTTCCTCCGGTGGCGGTCATGGCGGCCATGGCGGTAGTGGTGGATGGTCTGCTGCTCCTGCTCCCGCTCCAGCTCCTGTTAAAATCATCAAGGTCATCTCTGAAGCTGCTCCCTCTGGTGGTGCTGGCGGTTGGTCCGCTGGCGGTAGTGGTGGCTGGTAAATCCGTTACCTCTTCATTGCCCATTCCTGAAACTCGATTGTTTAGTTAGCTTTGTGATATTTTTTTTACTGAAACATCGAAATCGACTATTTGTTATTGTTATTATATCTCACTTCATTTTTGAAGTTCTATCATTTTCACACTCTATTAGTTAAATAAACCTCTTTTTTGTTATATAAAAAAAAAACATTTTTTTCTAATTCATTTACATAGGAAAACATTGAAAGATTTAATTAAGAAAAAAAATTCCCAAACTGATTACTTCATTACATGGAATTTAAAAACAATTTTTTTTATCGCAAAAGTTTGATTTTCAAATAGCACTACCAAAAATAATACCTTTTAGTATTAAAATTACTAAAATACTTTAAATTTTTTAATCTATTGACAACTTAGTCTATTGTGTGAACTATGGAATTGTTTGTATATTAGTTTACTATATAGTACGAGGGTCGAAGCCTATTTAAAATGGTTTACTTCGGTCCATTATTCCATATTCGGAAGTAGCTTCCATATTATAATATGGAAGTTGTGTCGATATAAATTCATCTTTTGGAAATCACTTTCATTTTAAAAAAAATCTCTTAAATATTAAGATAAAACTTAACACAAAAAGTGGGTATTTAGTTATTCTATCTCAGCGAATGTATGCACAATGAAGCGTTCCCACGACAATCGGTTCTTCGCACCAGAACGACTCGGAGTTCAACGAACAACGACCAAGGATTGTCAACCCAGCCACATCGAAATATTTTAAAAATTTGTTGCAGATCTTTTATAGATTCTATAGTTAGTTAGTTAGTTAGTTAGTTAGTTAGTTAGTTAGTTAGTTAGTTAGTTAGTAGTTAGTTAGTTAGTTAGTTAGTTAGTTAGTTAGTTAGTTAGTTAGTTAGTTAGTTAGTTAGTTAGTTAGTTAGTTAGTTAGTTAGTAGTTAGTTAGTTAGTTAGTAGTTAGTTAGTAGTTAGTTAGTTAGTTAGTTAGTAGTTAGTAGTTAGTTAGTTAGTTAGTTAGTTAGTTAGTAGTTAGTTAGTTAGTTAGTAGTTAGTTAGTTAGTTAGTTAGTTAGTTAGTTAGTAGTTAGTTAGTTAGTTAGTTAGTTAGTTAGTTAGTTAGTTAGTTAGTTAGTTAGTTAGTTAGTTAGTTAGTTAGTTAGTTAGTTAGTTAGTTAGTTAGTTAGTTAGTTAGTTAGTTAGTTAGTTAGTTAGTTAGTTAGTTAGTTAGTTAGTTAGTTAGTTAGTAGTTAGTTAGTTAGTTAGTTAGTTAGTTAGTTAGTTAGTTAGTTAGTTAGTAGTTAGTTAGTTAGTTAGTTAGTTAGTTAGTTAGTTAGTTAGTTAGTTAGTTAGTTAGTTAGTTAGTTAGTTAGTTAGTTAGTTAGTTAGTTAGTTAGTTAGTTAGTTAGTTAGTTAGTTAGTTAGTTAGTTAGTTAGTTAGTTAGTTAGTTAGTTAGTTAGTTAGTTAGTAGTTAGTTAGTTAGTTAGTTAGTTAGTTAGTTAGTTAGTTAGTAGTTAGTTAGTTAGTTAGTTAGTTAGTTAGTTAGTTAGTTAGTTAGTTAGTTAGTTAGTTAGTTAGTTAGTTAGTTAGTTAGTTAGTTAGTTAGTTAGTTAGTTAGTTAGTTAGTTAGTTAGTTAGTTAGTTAGTTAGTTAGTTAGTTAGTTAGTTAGTTAGTTAGTTAGTTAGTTAGTTAGTTAGTTAGTTAGTTAGTAGTTAGTTAGTTAGTTAGTTAGTTAGTTAGTTAGTTAGTTAGTTAGTTAGTTAGTTAGTTAGTTAGTTAGTTAGTTAGTTAGTTAGTTAGTTAGTTAGTTAGTTAGTTAGTAGTTAGTTAGTTAGTTACTAGTTAGTTAGTTAGTTAGTTAGTTAGTTAGTAGTTAGTTAGTTAGTTAGTTAGTTAAAAATATATATGAATATGAATTTCTAAAATATTCATGCTAGGAACATACATACATTTTAACATACATGGTCTTGACTGAATAATATTCTGTAAGTTGGTACTCTTTGGTACTTTTCCATTCTTCAAATGGTACCTTTTGGATTTTCTATAATGGTTAACCGGAACACATGACACACGGTCCTTATTAAATGAGAATTTATTGAGAGAGATTTTTGTACTTTTTCGTTTTTCCGATGGTACTTTTTGTTATTTTTACGATATTGAACATCGAAATATAAAATTTAAAATGTAGGGACCTTAGTGAATGAGAATCTACTATTTTTAATATTCTATAAAAGTAAGCTAAATTTTTTATGTATTTAATTTTGGTAAGGTTAGCACCCAGGGTATGCTAGTAATGTATATAAGAATTAAACATAAAAGGAATAAGCTCAATACCTCTCATAGTTTTGCCGTACCTATAAAATAGTGCAAAAATTAATACTTAATATTAATTAAGAAAAAAAAAACTCGAAAATGTGCAATTTTTTCCCATATAAACGCATTTTCAAACTTTGGCGGCGATGCGCGGTGATTCTCGGAAAATGAATTTATTTTTAGAATAGAATATTGGTATTATCACACAATTTTGCACAAATAAAACTAATATCAAAAGAAATCGTATTACCAACTAAAACCTAGATCGGTCCATAAGCTTCCATATAACATCCACATCCGAAAATTAATTAAACGAACGTAATTCATTATCAAATAACAATATCGGGACAAAATTGAACACGAATATGTTGTATATGTATATAAATCATTCTGCTAGTTTTTTTCGGTATCGGTCCATAATTGGTCATAGCTTTCACATGAAGTCCATTTCCGAAAATCATGAACGATTATTAATATCGGGATAAGATTCCACACGGATATGTTTTTTTTTAATCTTTCTAAGATTATTATTTAATATTTCCAAATTTATAAAATTAAAATTTCTATAAATATCCGACGTGTTAATAAAAAAAACTGGCTTATATGTATGTGAAGGGCATTTAAGCTTCGCCATAACTCTAACTAAAACAACGATCCCTTTCTAACGAATAGATCTAAACATTTATTTTGTATGTTGTTAATTTTAAATTTTCCATTTGTAACACTAATGAATAAATTTTACAACATTATACACCTATCACTCTTTCAACAACCTTCCCAAATTAATGAAGCATTTATTTAATATCTGGCACAATTTTATTTATAATTATTGATGTAAAAATTAATGCACAAATATTTTGAGCAGATTTTCAAAATCTTCAACCTTAAGTGTAGTTAAGTCTAAACTGCTCTTAGCATTAACAAATTTGATTATGTAAAATTTCTTACTCTTAATATGTCTATAAGATACATACATAATTACATATGTATGTATTTTGTGCATGCAAACATATAGACACATACATATCGATGTATGTATGTATATCATTTTTAAAGAGTAGTTTGAGAAATTGAAAGTGTAATGTTGCAGCTTAAGAGCTATAAGCCCTTCAAGATTTTAATTTTGTATATAAAGTTAACAAATTTTACGATTTAGTTATCAATTTCAGTTGAGCTCTCATCGAATATTCACTAAAAAAACTTAAACTAAACAAAGCTAAACATGAAGGTGCGTTTATTAGAAATATATTACAAAAAAAGATTTTACATTACAAAGAAGTTTCTCAGGAATATTATTGCCAAACACCAGAGATTATAGGCAATAGTTTTCAAGGACAAACTTTTTGGAATTAAAGAAAAAAAAAACAGCAACTGAATATTAATAAAACGTTCTAAAAATTAACTGATTTTATTATCAACTCTTTCAGGTTTTCGTATGCTTGTTAGCCCTTTGCGCAGTTGCCAATGCCGGTTTCTTAGGAGGTGGCGGCGGTGGTGGTGCTGGTGGTTGGTCCAGCGGTGGTGGTGGTGGTAGCAGTGGAGGCTGGTCTAGCGGTGGTGGTGGTGGCGGCTTCTCTGGTGGTCCCGTTAAAATTATTAAAGTCATTTCCGAAGGTGGATCTGGCGGTCATGGTGGTGCCGGTGCTGGTGGTTGGTCTTCAGGAGGCTCCGGCGGTTTCGGCGGCGGCTATGGTGGCGGTCATGGCGGTGGTTATGGCGGTGGTCATGGCGGTGGTCATGCCGGTGGTGATGTTCAAATCATTAAAGTCATTTCTCAAGGTTCCTCCGGTGGCGGTCATGGCGGCCATGGCGGTGGATGGTCTGCTGCTCCTGCTCCCGCTCCAGCTCCTGTTAAAATCATCAAGGTCATCTCTGAAGCTGCTCCCTCTGGTGGTGCTGGCGGTTGGTCATCTGGCGGTGGTGCTGGTGGTTGGTCCTCTGGCGGTAGTGGTGGCTGGTAAATCCGTTACCTCTTCATTGCCCATTCCTGAGACTCGATTGTTTAGTTAGCTTTGTGATATTTTTTTACTGAAACATCGAAATCGACTATTTGTTATTGTTATTATATCTCACTTCATTTTTGAAGTTCTATCATTTTCACACTCTATTAGTTAAATAAACCACTTTTTTGTTATATAAAAAATTATACTTTTTTTTAAATTAACATAGTAAAACATTCAATTACTGAAATGTTTCAATCAAACAAAAAATTTCACAATTTTTAAGCGCAAAATTAACATTTTTTTAATAATACTACATTTTCCAAAAAATAGTATCTTTAAGTATTAAAAGTAATAAAATACCTTTCTTTTTTTAATCTATTAACTAGTCGGTTGAGTGGACTGTGGAATTTTTTACAAACTAGTTTATTGACTAGTCTATGGACAAGTCTCTTGACTAGTTTGTGGACTAATCTATGAACTGTTCTATTAGAGTAGTCTGTTAAGTTGTCTATGTACTGATCTATGAAACTAGTCAGATCTATAACTAGTCAGTACTATTATATGAACTAGTCTATTGACTAGACAGTGGACTAGTCTATTGACTAAACTATACATTTTTATGGAGTTGTCAATAGAATAATCTATGGACTAGTCTATTGACCACTTTTATGGACTATTTAGTGTATTGGCTATACTATGAACTAGTCAACCACTTCTTGAAATACTCCATAGAGTAGCCTATAGACTACTCTATGGAGTTGTCTATCGATTACTTTATGGACTATTTTATGGAACTCTATGAAAAAGTCTATTGACTAATCTATAAACTATTGATTATACTTTGAACTGGAAATAGACCTGACTACCCAATGAACTAGTATATATACATTACTTTATGGAGTTGTCAATAGAATAGTCTAGAGACCACTTTATATACTATTCTAGAGACTAGACTAGTATTAATATATGGCAGTTGACTACTCTATGAAGTAGAACATTGTCTGGTCTATGAACTAGTCAACAGACTAAATTATTGACTATTCTCTGCTATAGTCTACAAACTAACTAACTAACAAAACTAGTTACAGAGAATTGTAAAAATTGATAAACAGTTTAATTGGTACAACTAATTACAATTACAACTGTAATTGGTTGCAAAACCCCAATCTAATTAAATAGATAACTGAATCAAGCTAACCGATGATTGGATAACTAAAGAAATGAACACTGAAACTAACCTTTTCATGGAAAGAGCTTAATTAGATGTAATGAACTTTTAACAATATATCGTCACCTGAAATGCAAAAGGGCGTAACAACACTTTTCATAATTTTACAACAGAGACAAAGAATTAAATATGTAATATGAAAGCCATTGTTTTTATAAAAACAACATTTTCTTACAAGTTTTGTATCCCAACAGCGATAAACACGATTGAATATAACTTTATTGCCTGGGATTACATATTATGTTGCTTTTTAGGGCTTGCTGACTTGTGGAAATGACTAATTTGTTGCCCTTTTGAATTTAATTTCAATAATGTCATTGTTTTTGACAATAGAGTTCTAAAAATTTGCAACGACATGTTTTTTAATGCAGTGAATCATTTTGGATTTTAAAATTTTTTGTTGTTACGCCTTTTTGCATTTCAGGTGACGATATGAATAAAACATTAATTATAATAATTAATAATCTTTTATAATAAGCCTAACAAATTTATTTGTTTTTCGAAAATCTTTTAAAATAATTTTTAATTTGAATCAATTATAAGCTTTAAGCTAATTTTCGAGTGATCTCTAGTAATGGATCTGGAGCGATATTTATTTAAAATATTGAGATCTATTGCTAAATTTAAATTTATAACACATCTGTTTATACTTTTATGCTTGAATAATGACTCAAAATTAGATTGTTAAAAAAATATTGTCAACAAAACACTTAAAAAAATTGTCATCATAAAAATACTCATTAATTTTGCATAACAAAGACTTGTTGCAAAAAATTTAAGTCAGTTTAATGATAGACATAAATAATTTATTACCAAAACAAATAAGTACAAAATAATCGTAAAAAATGATATAGCATTTTGTAGCGTTAGTCGTCCAGTTAACCAGTTAACTGGAGAATGGTGTAAAATGTATTAAATAAAATTTTAACAAAATTTAACAATATATAAATCGTGCTGAAACAAAAACCCAAACCACAAAATTAAAAGACGATTGAATTATAATTAAATAAAATTTATTTCCTTGTTTAAATGTTTTCAAAACACTCAAGCTCCTAGTAATGTTTTAATTAAACAGTTAAAAACGAAAAGTATAAAAAAATATTAACAAAACCAAATCATTAATCATGGCTTAAAAGAAATCATCATTATTATATTGTTTATATATGTGCATATTTTTTTAGGCAAAAAAGTAGTAATAAGAAAAAAATCTGTAGGTAAAATAATATTTTAGGTAAAATACTACTTTAATTAAGTATTTCAACAGTTAATGAATAATACTTATTTTTATTCTTTATTTTTTTGTCAATGTCCAAAAATTCCCTAATGTTTTAAAGTGGGCTGTACTCTGTTAATTAGTTAAGCTATTGTGTAAAATTGTAATAATGTGTTTTTGTAATAATATTTTGTAGATGTCAATTTAAATATTATTAATTAAATATAAACATTTTAACAATGTAAAAAGTCTGTAGCGTAATTATGGTCTTGAGTTAAGTTTTCAGTTTATAACACAGTAGTTAAAAATTAGGAAATGTAATAGGTTTTCAAATATTTAGTTAAGTTTAAAAGCTGAGAACATCATTAAACTTTTGAAGGAAGGTAAGAGGGAGGGACAAGGAAAAGGAAGAGATTGAAAAGAGGGGAAGAGGGAGAAAGCAAGGGGGGGGTGAGAGGAAGGAAACGGGAACAGAAAGGAAGAACGAAACGAGAAACGAACGAACGAACGAACGAACGAACGAACGAACGAACGAACGAACGACGAACGAACGAACGAACGAACGAAACGAACGAACGAACGAACAACGAACGAACGAACGAAACGAACAAACGACGAACGAACGAACGAACGAACGAACGAAGAACGAACGAACGAACGAACGAAACGAACGAACGAACGAACGAACGAACGAACGAACGAAACGAAGAACGAACGAACGAACGAACGAACGAACGAACGAACGAACGAACGAACGAACGAACGAACGAAACGAACGAACGAACGAACGAACGAAACGAACGAACGAACGAACGAAACGAACGAACGAACGAAACGAACGAACGAACGACGAACGCGAACGAACGAACGAAACGAACGAACGAACGAACGAACGAACGAACGAACGAACGAACGAACGAACGAACTAACGAACGAACGAACGAACGAACGAACGAACGAACGAACGAACGAACGAACGAACGAACGAACGAAAAACGAACGAACGAACGAACGAACGAACGAACGAACGAACGAACGAACGAACGAACGAAACGAAAGAACGAACGAACGAAACGAAACGAACGAACGAACGAACGAACGAACGAACGAACGAACGAACGAAGAACGAACGAAAGAACGAACGAACGAACGAACGAACGAACGAACGAACGAACGAACGAACGAACGAAGAACGAACGAACGAACAAAACGAACGAAGAACGAACGAACGAACGAACGAACGAAAACGAAGAACGAACGAACGAACGAACAACGAACGAACGAACGAACGAACGAACGAAACGAACGAACAACGAACGAACGAACGAACGAAACGAACGAACGAACGAACGAACGAAACGAACGAACGAACGAACGAACGAACGAACGAACGAACGAACGAACGAACGAACGAACGAACGAACGAACGAACGAACGAACGAACGAAACGAACGAAAGAACGAACGAACGAACGAACGAACGAACGAACGAACGAACGAACGAACGAACGAACGAACGAACGAACGAACGAACGAACGAACGAACGAAACGAACGAACGAACGAACGAACGAACGAACGAACGAACGAAGAACGAACGAACGAACGAACGAACGAACGAACGAACGAACGAACAAACGAACGAACGAACGAAAACGAACGAACGAAACGAACGAACGAACGAACGAAACGAACGAACGAACGAACGAACGAACGAACGAACGAACGAACGAACGAACGAAACGAACGAACGAACGAACGAACGAACGAACGAACGAACGAACGAAACGAACGAAACGAACGAACGAACGAACGAACGAACGAAACGAACGAAACGAACGAAAAACGAACTAACGAACGAAAAACGAACGAACTAACGAACGAACGAAACAAGAGAACTAACGAAGAACAACGAACGAACGAACGAACGAACGAACGAAACGAACGAACGAACGAACAACGAACGAACGAACGAACGAACGAACGAACGAACGAACGAAGAACGAACTAACGAACGAAGAACGAACGAACGAACGAACGAACGAACGAACGAAACGAACGAACGAACGAACGAACTAACGAAAGAACGAAACGAACGAACGAACGAACTAATAATAACTAACTAACGAACGAACGAATAACGACTAACGAACTAACTAACGAAACTAACGAACTAAAACTAACTAACTAATAACTAACTAACGAATAACTAACTAACGAACTAAACTAACTAACTAACTAATAACTAACTAACGAACTAACTAACTAACTAACTAACTAACTAACGAACTAACTAACTAACTAACTAACAAAGAACTAAATAACTAACTAACGAACTAAACTAACTAACTAACTAACTAACTAACTAACTAAACTAACTAACTAACTAATAACTAACTAACTAACTAACTAACTAACTAACTAACTTTACTGAATTTGAAGTTTGTTAGTGACCAAAAAACTATTTGTTTACTGGTACCACTAAGGGCCCTTACTTTACGTATGTATATTCATCAAAAAAGTACCCTTAATAAAAACTATAACGAAGTTATAAATAATAAAAACTATAACGAAGTTTAATATAATGTTAAACAGTTATATTATTGTCCCCAAAAACAAATTATTACAAAACACTCACCTTTATTAAATTATTTTAATAAACATGTTGAATACATTCCGCAACATGTATACAACAACATGCTAACACTCTCTCCCACTTGTACTCTCAATTGCAGTGATTTTTTTTCAATGAACAAACAAAACAACAAACGGCATAAAAAATTGCATAGAGTTTTTTTTTAAACTTTAAACACTTTTTACTTTTACTAATTAAAAACTTTTCATAAAAATTTTTATATAGATTTGTTAAGCCATATTTAATTTATAATTTTATGCAAAAATATTTTAATAAACTCAAATAATTAAGACACTAGATTTAATTTAATACAATAAATACGCATTTTGCAACCGACCACTTTAGAAATTCTTAAAAAACTAAAGAGGAATGCAAAATAACTGAAGGAAAAGTAATTGATGATATTGTTCTTGTTGTTGTTGTTTACATTATATTAAAAGTAAACAACAAAATAACGGGATAGTATCAGTGTTGGGCAAATAAGGAACAACACTTTTTATTAAATTACGAATGAAGCTGTGTTATTTTAAAGGTATACTTATCGAAATAATTGATTAATTTTTATTATAATTTAATTAAATTGTTGGATATTGATTTTAGTACTTTATAAATAACTAAAGGGGAAAACGGGAAATTTTATTTTATTCAAAATCATTGAGCCAATTTTAATAAAATTGGAGAAATTGGTAGATTTAGTAGCATTTAAATATGTAAATGGGGTGTTACTTGGAACTCCGGTATAAAGGACTATTTTTGGTACTTTTTCGTTTTTTAAATGGTATTTTTTGAGTTTTTTGTAATATTGATTCTAGAGACATGAAATTAAGCATGTAAAGCCCGGAGTAAATCAGAACCTATAAAAGGGTACATGTCGTTACTTTTTCGTTCTTTAAAAGGTAATTTTTGAGTTTTTTATAATATTGAACCTAGAAACATGAAATTAAGCATGTAGACACTGGTGTAAATGAAAACCTATAAAAGGGGGCTTTTTTGTACTTTTTCGTTTTTTACTGGTACTTTTTGAGTTTTCTATTATGTATATTGAACCTAGAAATATAAAACTAAGAATTCAGGGACTTGAGTGAATGAAAATCTAAAAAGGAGTATTTTCTGGTACTTTTTCATTCTTGAACTGAAACTTTTGCAATTTTTTATAATATTGAACATAAAAACATAAAATTGGACATGCAGCTTCTTGATTGTATAAAAATCTGTTTTTAACATAAATATACTAAATTTATTAGTTTTACCATAAATTTATTAAATCCTCAGAAAAATCTTTAAACAATTTTCACATTTGTGTCTTCAATCGCAAATAAAACAAAAGACTTAAGACACATACGTAAATAGCTAGTGTTACAGAGGAACGTCTAAGTTAAACCTTAAATTTTGAAATATGCGGAAATATTTATAGTTTTAAACTAAACATAAACAAGCCCTAAAAAGTTATGTCAAATGTGGTTTAAAACTAAAAACAACAGTTACAAAAAACATTGAAAATAATTACAAAATTTTTCTTCTTAGAGATCACAAAGGTCTTTTATTAAATATCGTTTACATAAATTTTTTGTTTAAAAAATAATGATAATACTTTACTTATTGTTTCCACCAACCTGAAGAGGCAGAAGAGGAAGCAGAAGAAGATGCGGAAGCAGCTCCGTAGCCATAGCCGCCAGCGCCGCCATGACCACCGAGACCGGAACCGTAACCACCAGCACCACCATGACCGGAACCATAACCACCAGCACCACCATGACCGGAGCCATAGCCGCCAGAGCCATAACCGCCAAGACCTCCAGCTCCACCGGAACTATAACCAATAGAGCCGCCGCCAAAACCACCAATAGCTTTACCAGCATGACCGCCAGCACCATAACCACCATGTCCAGAGCTATAACCACCTGAACCGCCAAGTCCAGAGGCATAACCACCGAGACCTCCTAAACTAGCAGATCCTCCATAACCTCCATGGCCACCAGCACCACCAAAACCACCGCTAGATATACCAAAACTTTTAACAGATTTGCGAGCAAAGCCACCAGCGCCACCATATCCGTAACCACCACCAACACCTACAGATTTACCGGCCCAAACACCACCGCTACCAAATCCGCCTCCTAAACCACCTCCTAAACCGCCTCCTAAGCCACCGCCTAAACCGCCACCATGACCACCTGCTCCTCCATAGGAAACTGCTGGTACAGCAAAAGAACCATGACCAGCACTAGCATGTCTAGACACAGAGCCACCGAAACCACCACTATGAGCACTGCTAACGGCACCAGCAAAACTGCCTGATGAATGGCCACCAAAACCACCACCGCCGCCACCATGTCTACCGCCAGGCAAATAGCCACCACCAGCACTAACAGCAGACAAAGATGCTAAAACCACTACGAAAGCCTGCAGCAAAGAAAACAAAATAATATAATTTATTTTTTTAAGGAAATGTTATCCATACCTTCATTTTTCTAAAAATTGTTTCTAATGCTTATCCACTTCAAATGCTCTTGAATGTTGGAATACTTTAATCACTCAAAAGTGTTTGCAATTTATAGTAGAATTAACATTTTCGAATTATTCTTAATCATAAATCTTCTGCATATATTTTTTAAAATTTTTTTTTCTGCTAAAAAATAATTTTCTTTGTTTTATTTTGGGTTTTTTTCTGCAATAATTATTTCTTATTTTTTCATCTTCATTCAATCAATGTTTAACTAATGTTTTTGCAGTTTTTGCTAAAAGATTCTAATTTTTTTTTTGTTTTAATTGATTGTGCTATTTAATTATATTTTTTTTACTTTTTCGTTCATGTTCTTATTGATCATTTAAAATCAACGGGGGGGTTAAAAGTCGTCTAGCTTCAAAATGTTTTATTAACAATAATAATTAACGAATATTAATAACCAATCATTGACTTCAAAATGGGATTTATTTATTTGCAAATTGTTGTTGTGTTAGGTTAGTTTTGAAAGGTGAAAAACTTAATCGATTAACACGATACGTAGGGGGGAAAATGTCAATATCATTTTTAAACGATTTAAATAAAGTGCAAGATTAGAAAGTGTTTCCGTTTTAATTTTAAATTAATTTAGTATGAGATTTAATTTTAAATTTGGCCACAACACACAGTAGAAATAACTATAGAATTAATGGTAAAATATATAAATATTCCAAAAGCAAACAAATGATAATACAAAATTATAAAATGTAGCAGACACTGCTCAAAGAAGAAAACATTATGTTATTTTGTGGATCAATTATCGGTCAATATATATTTATGTTTTTCCAGTTTTTTAATATTTTAACTATTATTCAATTTCTTTATTAAATATATATAATATACATATTTATACCTATTTCTGAAATTAAAAATCTTTTTTGCGTCATCAAGAAATTGAGAGGTGGAATATTTGTAAAATCGTTTAACTTTTCAAATATCAAGATATGTAATATTTCGAAGAACTCATATTCAATCCAACAGGTTAGTTAATTAAATTGATATGAATTAGGTAATTACAGACTTATAAGAGTTTAAGTATTTCAATACAAACAATTAATAATGTAAGAATAAAATTTAAAATTATAATATTTTAATGAACCCAATGATACCACATAGATGTTAAAAAAATTAAGAAAGGATAGATAGCCTTGTTGTTACATTAATATTATATCAATTTTAAAAAAGAAGCACAGTTCTAGTTCAGTTCTAGTTCAGTTCTAGTTCAGTTCTAGTTCAATTATTCAGTTCTAGTTCAGTTCTAGTTCAGTTCTAGTTCAGTTCTAGTTCAGTTCTAGTTCAGTTCTAGTTCAGTTCTAGTTCAGTTCTAGTTCAGTTCTAGTTCAGTTCTAGTTCAGTTCTAGTTCAGTTCTAGTTCAGTTCTAGTTCAGTTCTAGTTCAGTTCTAGTTCAGTTCTAGTTCAGTTCTAGTTCAGTTTTTTAGTTTCTAGTTCAGTTCTAGTTCAGTTCTAGTTCAGTTCTAGTTCAGTTCTAGTTCAGTTCTAGTTCAGTTCTAGTTCAGTTCTAGTTCAGTTCTAGTTCAGTTCTAGTTCAGTTCTAGTTCAGTTCTAGTTCAGTTCTAGTTCAGTTCTAGTTCAGTTCTAGTTCAGTTCTAGTTCAGTTCTAGTTCAGTTCTAGTTCAGTTCTAGTTCAGTTCTAGTTCAGTTCTAGTTCAGTTCTAGTTCAGTTCTAGTTCAGTTCTAGTTCAGTTCTAGTTCAGTTCTAGTTCAGTTCTAGTTCAGTTCTAGTTCAGTTCTAGTTCAGTTCTAGTTCAGTTCTAGTTCAGTTCTAGTTCAGTTCTAGTTCAGTTCTAGTTCAGTTCTAGTTCAGTTCTAGTTCAGTTCTAGTTCAGTTCTAGTTCAGTTCTAGTTCAGTTCTAGTTCAGTTCTAGTTCAGTTCTAGTTCAGTTCTAGTTCAGTTCTAGTTCAGTTCTAGTTCAGTTCTAGTTCAGTTCTAGTTCAGTTCTAGTTCAGTTCTAGTTCAGTTCTAGTTCAGTTCTAGTTCAGTTAGTTCAGTTCTAGTTCAGTTCTAGTTCAGTTTAGTTCAGTTCTAGTTCAGTTTAGTTCGTTCTAGTTCAGTTCTAGTTCAGTTCTAGTTCAGTTCTAGTTCAGTTCTAGTTCAGTTCTAGTTCAGTTCTAGTTCAGTTCTAGTTCAGTTCTAGTTCAGTTCTAGTTCAGTTCAGTTCAGTTCTAGTTCAGTTCTAGTTCAGTTCTAGTTCAGTTCTAGTTCAGTTCTAGTTCAGTTCTAGTTCAGTTCTAGTTCAGTTCTAGTTCAGTTCTAGTTCAGTTCTAGTTCAGTTCTAGTTCAGTTCTAGTTCAGTTCTAGTTCAGTTCTAGTTCAGTTCTAGTTCAGTTCTAGTTCAGTTCTAGTTCAGTTCTAGTTCAGTTCTAGTTCAGTTCTAGTTCAGTTCTAGTTCAGTTCTAGTTCAGTTCTAGTTCAGTTCTAGTTCAGTTCTAGTTCAGTTCTAGTTCAGTTCTAGTTCAGTTCTAGTTGCAGTTCTAGTTCAGTTCTAGTTCAGTTCTAGTTCAGTTCTAGTTCAGTTCTAGTTCAGTTCTAGTTCAGTTCTAGTTCAGTTCTAGTTCAGTTCTAGTTCAGTTCTAGTTCAGTTCTAGTTCAGTTCTAGTTCAGTTCTAGTTCAGTTCTAGTTCAGTTCTAGTTCAGTTCTAGTTCAGTTCTAGTTCAGTTCTAGTTCAGTTCTAGTTCAGTTCTAGTTCAGTTCTAGTTCAGTTCTAGTTCAGTTCTAGTTCAGTTCTAGTTCAGTTCTAGTTCAGTTCAAGTTCAGTTCTAGTTCAGTTCTAGTTCAGTTCTAGTTCAGTTCTAGTTCAGTTCTAGTTCAGTTCTAGTTCAGTTCTAGTTCAGTTCTAGTTTAGTTCTAGTTCAGTTCTAGTTCAGTTCTAGTTCAGTTCTAGTTCGGTTCTAGTTCAGTTCTAGTTCAGTTCTAGTTCAGTTCTAGTTCAGTTCTAGTTCAGTTCTAGTTCAGTTCTAGTTCAGTTCTAGTTCAGTTCTAGTTCAGTTCTAGTTCAGTTCTAGTTCAGTTCTAGTTCAGTTCTAGTTCAGTTCTAGTTCAGTTCTAGTTCAGTTCTAGTTCAGTTCTAGTTCAGTTCTAGTTCAGTTCTAGTTCAGTTCTAGTTCAGTTCTAGTTTAGTTCTAGTTCTGTTCTAGTTCTGTTCTAATTCAGTTCTAGTTCAGTTCCACTTTTGTCCCAATGTGCAGTTCATTTCTAGTTCCGTTCTAAATAAGTTTTATTTTATATTGATTTTTAAAAATATTTTCTAATAATACGATTTTAATTTTGTCCCACTGTGCAGTGTGGATTTAACCACTTAAGTCGATGTTAATAAAACAATAAATAAATTATATAATATTCAATTAACTATAATTTATCATGTCACACAAATTTCTTAATTTTTTTATTGATAGATATAATTGTGTTTATAGTTAACAAGTTTTTGTCTTAAGTCTTTTGATTTTTCTGACTAAATAGATAATTATTCATCCAATTGTTTGTTTGAATAAGAAATTAAATGTTTCTTTATCTTTCTGAATTTAACTTTAATGAAATATGTATGTTTGCAAAATTTTGATTGAAAAGTTTATTTCTTAACGCATTTGTTTAATCACTCATTGTTTTAAGCTGAAACAAAATGCGCACTTCAATAATTACAAATACATATACTAATTTCCATACTTTTATTTATTCCAAGCAAATAATAAAAATTATAAAATGCCTCTGTAGCATAAATGTGTAATAGAATACTTTGATTTTTTTTTTATTAATTTTTTTGAATTGTAACGGAGTTTTCCATATTTATAAAATATTTTTGTTATATTTTTTAAGCTTTTATTCTTTGTTAAGTAAAGCTTAGCAAATATTTAATAAATTTTAAATATTAAAAACTTTTACAAATTGTATTGTATTTAGCAAAAGATGGCTCTATTTAGCGCTATTAACAGTCATAACAACACTTCTGTTAAGTATGAATAAAAAGCTTTTTTAAGTTTTTGTCAAAAGCTTAACTTAAGTTTTTTATGGTTTCACTTACTGTGTTTTTAAATCGATGGGTTAAACAGGTTCAATGTCAAGTACGTAAAAATGAAAGTAAAGTAGTGAAACATACCTGTATCTTCTTTTATTACGTGAGTCATGTTTTTAGAGTTTATTGTCTTTTATGGCTTTTTTGAAAACAAAAAAGATATAAAGTAAGAAAAAGATTTATGTTTGACAGCTATTGTAATAATAACAATTGTGTTTTGTATAAAATGTTTAAAATTACTTTGATTGGTTTCGCTTGTCATGTAAATGAATAAGAGGAGTTTTTTAAAGCTTTAATCAAGAACTTCAGGTTTGGAGTAAAAAATAAGAAGGAAGTATTTAGAATAGGATTTTTTTAACAATATTTTAAAATTTATATGATTAATAAAATATGTATAGGTATAGAAATGGAAATCTTTAAACAATAAATTTTTATAGCTGCAGACATTTGCGCTTCAAGTGACTCCCTAATGTCAAAAAACACTAGTTGATTCATTCAAAAAATTCAAAAAATAAAAAGTTGACAACAATTTATCATAAGCTTTTAAATGCAACAAACAAACATCATTTCATCGGTTAATATGCGTTAATTCTATTATAAACTAATAAGCTGCGCTTCTGTCTTAAGTCTTTTGTTTTGTTATAAAGAAAAAAATAAAATAATGAAAACATACGCACGAGAGCTGGTCATGTAAATGGTATCAGTTCATGAAACTTTAATTTTTAAAAATACAATATAAAAACTTATTAATATTCATCAACATACTTTTCCAAATGTTTTTAACAAACTACTGGGTGGAGTACGTGTGTGGAGTTCTTAATTTAATTTCCCAGGTTGTGAATTGGTGCGAGATATGGCGCGGACAAAAAATGATCTTATTATACAAACTCTCGTATGCTAGAAAATGGTGAAACAATTTAATACTACATCATTTCTAAAGAGAACAAAATTAAATAATTTTTGAGTTAGTAATGAATTCAAAGAAATTGTTTACAAATCAAATTATTTACGTTGTTTTTATTGTGAGATTTAATATAATTTTTAATGAATAATATAAACCTTTAAATTTCTCAAACTGTGATTAATAATTTGAATTAAAATTGTGCCTAGATTTTCGATCACTCTTGTTTACTAATTTTTATTTGAAAAATAAAAATTCTATTTTTAAAATCCGCAAATATTTTAATAATATTCATGAATTAAATAAGACTGGTTTTATAATAAATTTATGCTAAAGATAAAATTTTGATGTTGAATTAATTAACTAACTACTAACTAACTAACTAACTAACTAACTAACTAACTAACTAACTAACTAACTAACTAACTAACTAACTAACTAACTACTAACTAACTAACTAACTACTAACTAACTAACTAACTAACTAACTAACTAACTAACTAACTAACTAACTAACTAACTAACTAACTAACTAACTAACTAACTAACTACTACTAACTAACTAACTAACTAACTAACTAACTAACTAACTACTAACTAACTACTAACTAACTACTAACTAACTAACTAACTAACTAACTAACTAACTAACTAACTAACTAACTAACTACTAACTACTAACTAACTAACTAACTAACTACTAACTAACTAACTAACTAACTAACTAACTAACTAACTAACTAACTAACTAACTAACTAACTACTAACTAACTAACTAACTACTAACTAACTAACTAACTACTAACTAACTAACTAACTAACTAACTAACTAACTAAACTACTAACTAACTAACTAACTAACTAACTACTACTAACTAACTAACTAACTAACTAACTACTAACTAACTAACTAACTAACTAACTAACTAAACTAACTAACTACTACTAACTAACTAACTAACTAACTAACTACAACTAACTAACTAACTAACTAACTACTACTAACTAACTAACTACTAACTAACTAACTAACTAACTAACTACTAACTACTAACTAACTAACTAACTACTAACTAACTACTAACTACTAACACTAACTAACTAACTACTACTAACTAACTACTAACTAACTAACTACTAACTAACTAACTAACTAACTAACTAACTAACTAACTAACTAACTAACTAACTAACTAACAACTAACTAACTAACTAACTAACTAACTACTACTAATACTACTAACTAACTAACTACTACTAACTAACTAACTAACTACTAACTAACTAACTACTAACTAACTAACTACTAACGAACTAACTAACTAACTAACTACTAACTAACTAACTAACTAACTAACTAACTAACTAACTAACTAACTAACTAACTAACTACTAACTAACTAACTAACTAACTACTACTAACTAACTAACTAACTAACTACTAACTAACTAACTACTAACTACTAACTACTAACTAACTAACTACTAACTACAACTAACTAACTAACTAACTAAACTAACTAACTAACTACTAACTAACTAACTAACTACTAACTAAACGAACCTAACTAACTAACTACTAACAACGAACTAACTAACTAACTACTAACTAACTAACTAACTAATACTACTACTAACTAACTACTAACTAACCTAACTTAACTAACTAACTAACACTAACTAACTAACTAACTAACTAACTAACTAACTAACTACTTAACTAACTAACTAACGAACTAACTAACTACTAAACTAACTAATCGAACTACTTAACTAACTAACTAACGAACTAACTAACTAACTAACTAACTAACTAACTAACTAACAAACAACTAACTAACGAAACTAACTACCTAACTAACTAACTACACTAACTATCTAACTACTAACTAACTAACTAACTAACTTCTAACTAACTAACTAACCTAACGAACTAACTAACGTACTAAATAAGTAACTCTTGGATCAGAGCCTTTTCCATACTGACGTATCAATATGGCCACCAACATTTCATTCAATATTAAATCGATCATTATTCCAAATAAAGTATTAATTACAGTACTCACTGGCAAGTACTACTTATATTAACATTAGGTATACTAATAATCCTTAAGCATTTCAAGCCATATTTATATAAATAAGTGGAAAAAATCTGCCAACTCTTTTAAGGATACTTCTCCTACAATGTGGATTCCATAGTGTTCGAATCATTTAAAGCAACTGATGGAATGATGTGAAGTTATAAATCAATTAATGCAATCCTCGTTCAAGAATTACGATATTTTAATTTATATGTGTATGACATTTTATTCTAATGCCAATATTAGGGAGGCCCACTAAAACAACAACAACAAAAATTCTTATATTAGTTAAAGTTAAAATTGTTCAACAAATTGATTTCATATTTAATTTCTCCTAAATTTTAAAAGATACACTTTTCTAAATACTCGATCAATCGACTTTTTCAGCGACCATCCTATTATTTAAACATGATCAATCTAGGGCTTAGTTAATTTTGTGCATTGCAAAATAGAACTATAAGTAGCTATTAATGATCAATTAAACACACCCTCATAAATATTTAAATAAAAACAAATATACTTATACATACTACAAACAACATCATTATTAATAGATATTTAAATTTTAGACAGAAATGATTCGTCAGAGCCGAAGCAGAGCTTATTACAGCAAATTTCTATTTTTTTAAACTTTTAGCTTCGTATATATAAGTTTATCATTTCGTTTGTAATTTCTACAATATATAGTTTTCCGGCCTCATAAAGTATATGTTTTCTGGATTCTTATATATAGTGGAGTAGATTAACCTATGTCTGTCTGTCTGCCTTTCTGTCTGTCTGTCCATCTGTATGTTTATTGAAATCAATTTTCTGCAGACCCTAGTTATCTTGGGAATCCAAATCTTAAATAATTCTGTCGGACATGCTTTCTAGAAGTTTTCTATTTAAAATCAGTAAGATCGGTCTATAAATAATTAATATATGAGCAAAAATCCGAGACAATTTTTGTATATGTAAGTAAGTCTAAAATGCCAAAATACAATCTTCCTAAATGTCTTAATTTTAAAAAAGAAACACCTGAACACTTATTATTTAATGACTACAAAATAAATTATTTTAATATACAATAAAAACTAAAGTATTTTTCCTCGTAAAAAGCATCAATAAAATATGAAGATGTTTTCTTCAAAACAATTACAGCTTAAATCAAAACAATAAATACAACTATCTTGTAATTAATATCAAATCAAAAATTTCACATTCACTATCCGGCTCAAGGGGGATTTACCAACAAAAACTACGTAAGATTTTTCACAATTTCAAATTACTTTAAAGATGATTCTTAAATTTAAATACATTTATTTGTAAAATAATAAATAGAAAGTGAAATTAACTAATTGCTGGTTATTAATTGAATAAATACATATTAACGTCAGCGAAAAAAATAGAAACAAATAAATAGAACTACTGAACTATAGAACTTAATTTATAGAATGTTTTAAATATTATTGAAACGAAAAAAAAAAAAAAAAACGAAAAATAATTCAAAACAGAAATTGAAAAAATAAAAAAGATAAATCGCTATGATATTAAACGTTGGTTTTCCCAAACTATTAAACACGCTCGAAATTAATTATAGTCATTTCTGTACGATTACAATAATAAGTTGAATTCAAATAAAAAACAATTGTTTGGTTTTTATTTAAGTGATCATAAACGACTAAGAGGGGAGCTACTATGAAAATTATAATAATAAAGTACTAGATGAATAATAAGGGAAGTATACTGGGGAATTCTGATAATTCCACAAAATTCAACAGTTACTTCAGTCTTATTTTTCAAAGAAGGAAAATGGTTTTACAAAAGCTTTTAAACATTTAGTATACATATGTATGTATATCGGTCGTCATTCAGTCTTTTAAATTATTACTTTCTTTGTTTAACTATTTAGAAGAAAAAACTTTGATGTAGTGAGCTATTACACCACCTTAAATGATAAATGAAGAAGCTCTAAATGAACTTGTTTTTTTATATTATTCTCTACACTTGATAATTGAAAGTTTAAAAAGCAAAAGTAGCTATCTACACTTTTGTATCTTCTTTATTTATTTCCGATTTTCCTGATTTTTTATAGGAAGCTACTCAAAAGCATGTCTGACAGACAGACAGACAGACAGACAGACAGACAGGCAGACAGGCAGACAGACAGACAGACAGACAGATAGACAGACAGACAGACAGACAGACAGACAGACGGACGGAAGGACGTACTGACAGACATATCTACACTTTTGTATCTTTTTATATATTTCCGATTTTCCTGATTTTCTATAGGAAGCTACTCAAAAGCATGTCTGATAGACAGACAGACAAACAGATAGACAGACAGACAGACAGACAGACAGACAGACAGACAGACAGACAGACAGACAGACAGACAGACAGACAGACAGACAGACGGACGGACGTACTGACAGACATATCTTAATCGACTCCGCTATCTATAAGAACCAGAATTAGTTGTATGTATACATTTAATATATACCATTCTCACGAAGATAAAGGATATAATAATGGAGATTGTTAACTTTACTTCTAAACCTTTTATTCTCTCACTTATTCCGTAACATCAGAATGGATATACTAATTCCAACTTCATATCTTAATATTTAAAAACTAATTACTACTGATGACGACATTAGAATTAAAATTGATGACGACACAATAATTGTTCAACCAGCACCCTCATACTACAACAACAACAACAAACACATCATGTTAAATCAATACAAAACTGCTGCATGAGATTATAGCTGGGAATATTGTGGAAATAAAGTCAAAACAAAATCAAAAATGATAATAAAAGCTTAAAGAAACATGCCTAGAATAATATATTTTCCCTGCTGGAGTATAAATGTGAAGGTTTCTGTATCCAGACATTTCAGTTTATTGCAAAGTTTCTAATCAAACGTACTATAAAGAAGCATTAATTTAGTGCTTAAACATTTTATTAAAAAAGTTTTAGATCCGGTACGGTTTACATCTAGATAAAAAGGATTACCATGAAACGCTTCATAGTTTTGCTGCTGTTGGTGGGTGTAGTTACAGCTACTCCTACTTTACATAAATTGAAGAAGAAGTTATTGCTTGGCGGTGGCGGAGGAGGAGGTGGTTTTGGTGGTGGTTATGGAGGCGGCTACGGAGGTGGTGGCGGCGGTGGTTATGGTGGTCATGGCTATAACCAAGGCGGTGGCGGTGGAGGCTACCAAGTCATAGCTGTTAAACAAGTTCCCGTCTATACCGTACAAAAAGTTCCTGTTAGCTACGGTGGTGGCGGCGGCGGTGGTTATGGTGGCGGCGGTGGTCATGGAGGCTACGGTGGTCATGGAGGCTACGGTGGTCAAGGTTATAGTGGTGGTGGCCAAGGTGGATATGGCGGTCAGGGAGGTTACGGCAGCCAAGGAGGTTACGGCGGTCAGGGAGGCTATGGCGGTGGTGGCCAAGGCTCTTATGCCTCTAGCAATGCCGGTAGTTATGGTAGCGGTGGTGGCGGTTATGGCGGTCATCCGGGTGCCGGCGGTGGTTGCAACTCCTGTGGAGGTGGTAATCAACTTTATGGCGGTGGTGGCAGCAGCAGTGGTTCTTATGCTACAGCCAGTGCCCAATCATCGAGTGGTAGTTACTCGCATGGTTGGTAAACCCATCGGATTTGTAAAATGTGTTGTTAGTTTAAGTACTTTGTAAAATAAATTTTGTAAAAAACTAGTCCCAAAAAAAATTCGTTTCCTTTAAGAATGTGTTTTCATGGTGACAGATTGGAGCTGCATATCCGACATTGGCACATATCTTATATATTTGGTATATGTATCATCGTCTAACTACAATCTAAAAATATTAATGTCTCGTCTTTCATTTCAACTCCCCTAAAACCCACTGTTGTAATTTAACGCACGACAGATCATGGTGCTTCAAATACATTAATTGTTGATGTAAATATGAAGAAATCGGCAGGCATGAAAAAACAGTGTGATGCCCGTTTGATTAAAAACATATTACACGTGTGGACACTTAAATGTCCAGGCTTTTTTAATTTATATGTATATGAAGTACTTCATTCCATCTGATCTTACAATTCCGATCAAAAATGGTATACACTCCTCTTGTATAGGCAAATGCTTCGCATCGACATTATGATAGAATGTATTCCTCTGAAACTACGGAACTCTTTCCCGATACTCGCAGATTTATAAGCAACACTCGTCTGTCTTTAAGAACGCATTCATTTGAAAACTAGATTGATCTCGTTATTGAATACATATTTGACCATATTTTTAATTGATTCAAATAATTTTTTAATTTACAAAAGAGATATTTAACCTAATTTTTAATCCACTTACCTCGTCTACACTAACTAACTAACTAACTAACTAACTAACTAACTAACTAACTAACTAACTAACTAACTAACTAACTAACTAACTAACTAACTAACTAACTAACTAACTAACTAACTAACTAACTAACTAACTAACTAACTAACTAACTAACTAACTAACTAACTAACTAACTAACTACTAACTAACTAACTAACTAACTAACTAACTAACTAACTAACTAACTAACTAACTAACTAACTAACTAACTAACTAACTAACTAACTAACTAACTAACTAACTAACTAACTAACTAACTAACTAACTAACTAACTAACTAACTAACTAACTAACTAACTAACTACTAACTAACTAACTAACTAACTAACTAACTAACTAACTAACTAACTAACTAACTAACTAACTAACTAACTAACTAACTAACTAACTAACTAACTAACTAACTAACTAACTAACTAACTAACTAACTAACTAACTAACTAACTAACTAACTAACTAACTAACTAACTACTAACTAACTAACTAACTAACTAACTAACTAACTAACTAACTAACTACTAACTAACTAACTAACTACTAACTAACTAACTAACTAACTAACTAACTAACTAACTAACTAACTAACAACTAACTAACTAACTAACTAACTAACTAACTAACTAACTAACTAACTAACTAACTAACTAACTAACTAACTAACTAACTAACTAACTAACTAACTAACTAACTAACTAACTACTAACTAACTAACTAACTAACTAACTAACTAACTAACTAACTAACTAACTAACTAACTAACTAACTAACTAACTAACTAACTAACTAACTAACTAACTAACTAACTAACTAACTAACTAACTAACTAATAACTAACTAACTAAACTAACTAACTAACTAACTAACTAACTAACTAACATAACTACTAACTAACTAACTAACTAACTAACTAACTAACTAACTAACTAACTAACTAACTAACTAACTAACTAACTAACTAACTAACTAACTACTAACTAACTAACTAACTAACTAACTACTAACTAACTAACTAACTACTCTAACTACTAACTAACTAACTAACTAACTAACTAACTAACTAACTAACTAACTAACTAAACTAACTAACTAACTAACTAACTAACTAACTAACTAACTAACTAACTAACTAACTAACTAACTAACTAACTAACTAACTAACTAACTAACTAACTAACTACTACTAACTACTAACTAACTAACTAACTAACTAACTAACTAACTAACTAACTAACTAACTAACTAACTAACTAACTAACTAACTAACTAACTAACTAACTAACTACTAACTAACTAACTAACTAACTAACTAACTAACTAACTAACTAACTAACTAACTAACTAACTAACTAACTAACTACTAACTAACTAACTAACTAACTAACTAACTAACTAACTAACTAACTACTAACTAACTAACTAACTAACTAACTAACTAACTAACTAACTAACTAACTAACTAACTAATAACTAACTAACTAACTAACTAACTAACTAACTAACTAACTAACTAACTAACTACTAACTAACTAACTAACTAACTAACTAACTAACTAACTAACTAACTAACTAACTAACTAACTAACTAACTAACTAACTAACTAACTAACTAACTAACTAACTAACTAACTAACTAACTAACTAACTAACTAACTACTAACTAACTAACTACTAACTAACTAACTAACTAACTAACTAACTAACTAACTAACTAACTAACTAACTAACTAACTAACTAACTAACTAACTAACTAACTAACTAACTAACTAACTAACTAACTAACTAACTAACTAACTAACTAACTAACTAACTAACTAACTAACTAACTAACTAACTAACTAACTAACTAACTAACTACTAACTAACTAACTAACTAACTAACTAACTAACTAACTACTAACTAACTAACTAACTAACTAACTAACTAACTAACTAACTACTAACTAACTAACTAACTAACTAACTAACTAACTAACTAACTACTAACTAACTAACTAACTAACTAACTAACTAACTAACTAACTAACTAACTAACTAACTAACTAACTAACTAACTAACTAACTAACTAACTAACTAACTAACTAACTAACTAACTAACTAACTAACTAACTAACTAACTAACTAACTAACTAACTAACTAACTAACTAACTAACTAACTAACTAACTAACTAACTAACTAACTAACTAACTAACTAACTAACTAACTAACTAACTAACTAACTAACTAACTACTACTAACTAACTAACTAACTACTACTAACTAACTAACTAACTACTAACTAACTAACAACTAACTAACTAACTAACTAACTACTAACTAACTAACTACTAACTAACTAACTAACTACCTAACTAACTAACTAACTAACTAACTAACTAACTAACTAACTAACTAACTAACTAACTAACTAACTAACTACTAACTACCTAACTAACTAACTAACTAACTAACTAAATAACTACCTAACTAACTACTAACTAACTAACTAACTATAACTAACTAACTAATCAACTAATAAGTACTAATCTAACTAACTACTAACTAACTAACTAACTAACTAACTACTAACTAACTACTAACTAACTAACTAACTAACTAACTAACTAACCTAACTAACTAACCTAACTAACTAACTAACTAACTAACTAACTAACTAACTAACTACTAACTAACTAACTAACTAACGAAATAACTAACTACTAACTAACTAACTAACTAACTAACTACTAACTAACTAACTAACTAACTAACTAACGAACTACTAACTAACTAACTAACTAACTAACTAACTAACTACTAACTAACTAACTACTAACTAACTAACTAACTAACTAACTAACTAACTAACTAACTAACTAACTAACTAACTAACTAACTAACTAACTAACTAACTAACTAACTAACTAACTAACTAACTACTAACTAACTAACTACTAACTAACTACTAACGAACTAACTAACTAACTTACTAACTAACTAACTAACTAGATTTTTGACCAAATTGTTTATTTCATTTAATTACTGATATATTTGATTATTTATTTGATTGGAAAAAAATTATATAATTGAAAATCATTATCGGTTTTTTCGGTGCATTTGAAGTGATTTTTGGGAGGTAGAACAATAAAGGAATTTGGTGCTTGATCTATACTTTATCTATAATTTTATGCTTTATATATCAAACAAATTTTTAGATTTCCCCAATTGCCAGCGAGATCGACGTAAAATCCCAAAGCCAAAAATCAATTCATAATTCTGTCATCATTTTGACACCAGAACCGCATGTAGCCATGTGCTTAAGTCTGTCCGTCTAGCTATCTGTCTACAGCATTAATAATATAAATTTATTGAAAATTGAAAAATTGAAAATTGCATGTTTATCATGCGTTCTGAATTTCAAAATATTTTTAAGGGACAAACACTGCTAATTGTTGTTGTTTATATGTATGTTTAATATTGTTTTTGAAATCATAACACGTAATGAAAAAATTCTATTTGCGGAGTTTTTGCCACTACATACAAACATTTCGGTTGCAAAATTTGTTCAAGCGTCTCAATTGAAATGAGTCATTGTAAATAATTTGAAAATAATTAATTAAACAATAAATTTTGACAATATTTAGCTAAAGTATTATTTAAGAACTTGTTAATATAGTTTTGACAAATTTTTCTTTAAAAATTTTTTAAAACAAAGAATATAAAATAAATTATTTATAACAAAAAGAGTATAGGCTGTCCTTGTATATACATAAATTATAGTTTAAAATAATTTAATTATAATTAAGGTATTTATTAACTAAATATAAAAAATTTTATTTATTTATGCTGTATCATTGTAATTCTGCTGTAAAAAATAACTTGTTTGTTTTAAAATCTTAGTTTTATTACCAAAACTTGTTTATTTGCCTTAAAAACCTTATTAAAAATGTTAAGAACTATGTTTTTAAGATTTACATAAATATTTTAGTAATTTCTAACAAACATTTGTTTGTATAACTAAAAATTTTGTTAAGACATGTTTTGAAAATTTTGTAAATATGTACTTTACATATGAAGTTGTGTAAAAGATCATTGAACTGTTTGATTTTAATGTTGACATAACTCATAGTTTAAAATTAGTATAAATAAATAATTAGATATAAGAAGGTATTGTCCGACATTATAGGGAATTTTTAAATCATTCTTTTTATAACATTCTAGCCCTATATTATTTTTATTCAGCAGCACTCAGGGGATGACCCCAACTAGGAAAATAGTTTGTGGCAGGAGGATTATAGGGAGTACTGTTTATAGTCAAATAGAGTAAGAGAAAGAAGCTATATCATTTGGTAAGA